GAAGCAGCATTTGTTTAGCCTGTAGGATGGTGATGGAAGCACTCAACATTTCTGTGATCTTGCAGCCATACATCCTCATCACCTTCTAGTGGCTGTTTTTGTTTTAAAACTTACATGTTAACCATATTCACTAATTAACTCAATGACTAATTTGGCTTTAACATTTGATGGATTAGATTTATTGCTGAGAAAAGAGGAGTTTTAGTTTTACCAGGAGGTATTCTCTCTTCTGTGAGCAGAAACCCTTTTGGTCTGAAGTGGGGGCTACAAGTCAGAAAACGTAAATGGATTCTTTAATATGGTGTCCCAGCTAATGAGATTCTGTTGAGGATTATTTTGATAGCAGGACATTTTCCCCATTCTTCTGTTTCAGTAAAGCCCTTGAAATTTAAGGCTTGGAGGTAATTATTCCTTTTTTGTTCTTGCACAGGGAGACCCAGGAGAAAATGGTGCAAAAGGCTCCAGAGGCGATAAGGTCTGAATGTAGTAAGTTTCTCATCTCTGCACTTCTCCAGCTTTCCTTGTATCTGTTCTGTGCCTCCACTTGCAAGAGGAAACTCTTCTTTCCTGCAAGTATTTGACTTGATCTTGCTTTAATATTATTTTGCTTCTGTCTCTTTCATTGGCTTAATGAATAATGCAGCAGCTCCGAGGGTCTTTTATTCACAAGGATTAATAAAAATCAGACATGTTGTGGCTCAGAAGTTCAGCCTATTTGAAACCCAAAACAGCTTGCTTGCTCCAGGTTTCAGCCAGGGTGTTAATGGGGCAAGTATGGAAAAGCTGGTGCAACTTGCCCCTTTCTCCCTTCCTTTTCCACATGGCCTGTCCACCAACTCACCTATCAATTTTCCCAGTGCTTTTCTTTTCTTGTTCCCATTTAACTTTTGCCACATACCACTGCCCTTGAATTCATTGTGATATATTAACTAACCTGCCTACTCTTCTCCTCTGTCTCATGGAATATTCTGCACATCCCTAATCATTCACTATCAGGGCAATGGGGCAATGATGGTTATGACTAAGAGTGGGATAGCTCTGTCCACCAAGGTTACTTATCTCCTTGGATTATATTAGCATTCTATTGGTGACCATGGATTTTCTGCAAGAATATTCTGCCACTGGTTACACCATGCTTTGTTTTGGAGGTGAGATTGAAAATTTGGTTTGTTTTTTATTTATGGTTACAGACCAGTTTCTTGTAATCAGACTAGAAACTGTATTGGCTCCATTTCTGTCTGAAACATTTAAAATCCCATGAAATGGTTGTGTCAGGGTAGTAATAAAAGAGTCAAGGAAGAGCTGTCAGTTGTGTTGCCAATATTGTGCTGCCAATATTCAACTATTTGCTACTGAGTGTTGGCCATACAAAAGGGAGTTGCCCAATTTTGATCTACAGAAAACAAAATATTTGGGGATGAAATATTACATGAAAGAAATAATAGTAAAGGGTAAAATACTAATAGAAATCCCTTGGACCTAGGTACGTATTTAAAAGCATCAAGCCCATTGTCTCCAATAAAACTTAGCACGCTTATATTTTTCAGGATTGCTTCCAATGAGTGCAGATCTCAGTCTCTCATTGGCTGCTTCACAGAAGGCAAGGGAGAAGGACAGAGCTCTCCCCTGGTCCTGACAGGCTCCCTGCTTTTGGTTGATCTGAGTTGACCAGCAGAAATTAAACTGGCCATTGTGATGCAACCATAGATCCCAGTGATATTGGTTTGTGTGATGGGGAGTAGATACAGTGCAGCTGCCAATTTCCCTTTGTGACATCAATGCCATCTTGAATTGCAGGGTGAAGATGGTCAGAAAGGGGAGAGAGGCGAAGCTGGTGGAAAGGGCAGGGATGGCACTCCAGTGAGTATTATTGACTGGTCATTGTCAAAATGACGACAGTTATTGAAACAAAGCCATTCTGATGTCAAAATTTATTCTGCTTTTTAGCAATGAATATCCTACTTTCAGAATGGGCATGTTCTATTACCATGTATAGTTGTTACTGCATTACACTGTGGCTTTGTTGGCTGCTGCTTATTCTCCATCTCCTTTTTTTTGCTGCAGGGACCTCCAGGAGAGAGAGGCCTTCCTGGCCCAGAAGGGAAAGCAGTAAGTAAAAGGCTCAGCACTGTCAGAGAAAACCCTACAGTATAGGGGAAGAGAGAGGCAGGAGGAGGAAAAAACACAGCAAAAGAAAAGGAGTATTATTGGAATGACTGTATGGGAGAAATACGGCAGGGAGCTCAGTGAAGCCCACAAGTCCCAAACCCTCCGCCCTCAGTTTTAGCTAAATTTGCTCTTCATATTTTTGAAAACAGTAGCTATGGGGCCCATCACATAAAAGCAAGGGAGATCAGCCTGGTCTGTCCCTTTCCCAATTGAAACGCTGGAAGGAACTTAATTTGCCTCAGAAATTGCAGTCTGGCTGATTCAGAAAGGAGTTCAATGAACAAACCTAGGCTTCCAGAATAGTCTTCGCCTGAGGCTTCCCAACTACCATATAGAGCTTTGTGCTTCTCTGTAACTTCCCAGCCATACAGTATATCGACAGGGAAATGCCAATAGCTTCTCATGCCTTTGATTGTGACACACAGCGTTTGGATGGAATCCTTGCTAGATAGAGTTCTTGAGTCAAGCTGAGCTGGGAGGGAAGGAAGGAAAGGCTGTTTTTATTTATCTGTTTGTTTGTTTATTTGTTTAAATGTATTGGCCGCCCACCTCCAGTGGACTCTGGGCGGCATGCAAAACTAGAAAAAACATAAAAATAGCTAAAAACAGACAGATGGCCCAGACTAAACTAATCTAATAGACAGCAAAAACAATAACACAAAACAGGGGCCTTAAACAAATAATAGACATCAACCCCAGGCCTGGGACCAAAGCCAGGTTTTCAAAGCTTTCCAGAACCCCAGGAGAGAGAGTGCCATCCTTATCTCTGGGGGATGCCGTTCCAGAGGGTGGGGGCCACAACAGAGAAGGCACGCTTCCTAGGTCCCACAAGATGGCAATGTCTAATAGAGGGGACCTGGAGCACACCCACTGTGCTGGATCATACTGGGCAGGCAGAAATGACTGGAGACAAGTGGTCTCTCAATGAAGATCATCTTGTTTATTGGAACAGCAATGCCTTAGCAGCATTGGGAAGCCAGGATACAGTTTCTTTACGAACAAGGTTTGAAACTGCCTTTTTCCTGTATTTCAAAATAATAATGAGTTTTAAGTGTAAATTGTTAATTTATCAAATCATTTCTAGGTCCCTTTTTGCTTAACTCTTGCATAATTGGAACTGATGTATTGTTTGCTTTCCATTCCTACTTTCCTTTGTAGACCATATTCAGTTTAAGGAGGCCTCAGCAGAAGGGTTTTGCTTACTCTTCATCACTTGTAATTATGGTTGTTTCTTACATATGTCCAGTACATCTATATTCTAGAGCAGGCATGCTGAGTCAGTGTTCAAAATATACAGAAATATTCAAGAGACATGAATATATTGGAATCAATCAAATATTCTCTCTGATGTCACTTTCTCTTTTAATATTATGGGATGAAGATTTTAGGCTTGCTATCATCAAGCCTGGTGCAAAAGGCATAAAAATGGAACTAAGAGTTCGTGAACTTGTTTTAAGTGTCACAATTAAATAAAGCTTAAAATCCTTCCATGCAAGGACCACTTTGGTTATCCTGAGCTTCCATCATTTCAGAGAGAGAAGGCCCCCCTTCCTTCTCCTGGGGGCAGGAGTATAATGAATGGCAGTTATCAAACAGGTGGGAGTCAGGAATTTCTGCAGAACTTGCGCAGGTTGTCCAGATATCTTCAGCAGGCTCAGTTGCCAGCAGGTGTGCGTGCCTGCTGCAGAGCACCTTGTTGCACAATTGTTGGTGCTTCCTCACCTTAAACATGCATTTTCCTGGGACCCCATAGGTAGTTTGCACAGCTTCCTCCAGGAGGTGCTGGCAGATGCAGCAAAAAGCAGCCCATCCCTGATGGAGTTATTTCCGATGCCACCAGTCCAAACCTCACCTTGTGGCTGTATTTTACGTAGCTGGTTCACGTGTCTGTGTATGTCATTGCCTCCCCTCTAGGGCCTACAGGGTTTTAGAGGGCCCCCCGGCCCAGCTGTAAGTAACCTTTATACTTAGACTCTAGCAGCCCTGAGTCCTTGGCTGTGGTTGGCTTTCTCTGCCCGCTCGCTTCTTTTTAGCACAGAAGGAACTTCTCTGCCTTGGCTTGAGAGGCGGCTCTGGGTCTCACTAACTCTTTGGGTCTTTGCCTTGGATCTTTGCAGGGCTTGCCAGGTTTCCCTGGAGTTCTGGGCAGACCGGTAGGTGCTCCCCTCCCTTTTCCCTCTCCCGTGTCTCACCCACATCCCACCTTGCATGTAGCACGATGCCTCTTCCTACTAATAATGGGGGCGGGAGGGTGAGGTTGCACTGCAGTGCTAATTAGCACGGTCAGCTTTGCCAAAGGAAGAGGGAGACCTGGGCATGGTGACCAAAGCTGGGTTCCACAGAGGGAAGAAAGTAAACCACTGAAGCACTCTTTCCACTTGTCAAATGCAGGATGTGATCATGAAGCTTTTGTAATATTTTTAAACCGCTTTGTCCCAGAAAGGAATTAATAATAATAAAATATCATGAATTACATATTAATGTTTAATGATGGTAATAATACGGTATGTGTGTGCGTGTGTATATATTTCACAATATTTTAGGATTAGCGTATTATTTTAGGATTTTAAATTGAAGGACTAACATATGGCAATCAGGAATTGGCAATCCTTTGTCATGTATTCACTTAATGGCTGCGCTACATCTCTCCAACATCCTATTCTTACCCAAAAAGCTGTCATTTGGACAGCACAGCAAATTTTGCCCTCCACTGTATGCAGAAATATACCTTGTGAACATATATATTTTGTAGCAATTGCCACAATCAGGTAGCTCTGCAAAAGTATAGCTGTGATGTGTTCAAATCATTGTGAAATATATGCACGTACCATCATTTCCCATGGTACTTTTCTACATGCAGAGAAAGACAGAGGCCATAGAAAAAATGTGTTGATGAAAATGACTCTGAACTGGCTTTTAATGGGAAGCTCACCAGAACAAGAGGTAGGGAGGCCCAAATAATTAATTATTCCAGGCCTGCTATCAGCTGATATTATTATCAGAAGCTGACATTGTCTGTGACAATTAGACTTTAATAGTATTATTTAAAATTCTAGGATAAGCAACATCTGGTTTTTCAGTGCTCTGGAGTTTATCTGAAAATCTGGATTGTGTGGAATGGGTAAACATCTCATCTGAAGTCAAGTATTTTGACACATCACTTTTATGGTTCTTCAGCTCTAAAAAAAAGCTAACTGAGATGTGTATCAGTACCACATCTATCACTGATAATGTCTTTTCATTTCAACAGGGAAATCAAGGAGATCCTGGATTACCAGGCCCTTCTGTAAGTAAACATGGTTCTTTTCTTTTAGAAATATTACAACATAAAATCCACTTAGTTGAGAAGATATAAGAGAGTGTACAGAAGAATTTGAGTCTCCCAGTGTATTGCATAATCTTATAAACTGTGGGAATAGGTTCTTAATAGGAGATAGCAAACCAAGTTGGTCAAAGACAGAATGGTATGCATTTTATGAATGATTTCTGGCACTAAGTTGTCTCTGTAATTCTGTGCCACAGCTTTGTCATGTTCTCAGAATTGTTGGCCTAATCTAATAATGCACATACCAATTAATAAAAGTTTGTCCTCTTATTGCTAAAGATTCACTGAATCCAGAACACAGATTGTTAAACCAGTAAATTTTTGGTTTGTTTAAGGTTCATTTGTAATTGAGGTTTTGTGATTTTGTTCAGGTCAGTAAATAGACAGTTTTGATTGAAGTATAGTTTGGTTCCCTCATTTGTTTAGAAATGTACATGTCTTAGGGTGGCAGGACATTTTTTTTATACCTTTTCAGAAAATGCCAACAACACAAGAAAAACTAGTTAGCATGCTGTATACCATATTTGAATTAACTCAGTCATACTTGTGCTTTGATTACTGGAAATAATTGTCGTCTTCTTCTATTTTCCTTCAGGGTCCTGTCGGCCCACCTGGGACCCAAGGCATACCTGGAATAAAGGTATGTGACCTGAGTAGATTGCAAAAGAAACCAGAACACTCTAGAGCTTGTGGAACCTTCTTTCAAATTAGTAGCACTGGAAAAGACAACATGCCTGGCTAGCATTTCAGCTAAGTGCCTTGTAAAAATAGTTAAACAGTTGTTTCAATAACTGCCTCTGCTGGACTCTTCTTCCTCCCCCCACCCCCACTTTCCTACAACCCTTCTGAGAAGCGGCAGTGAAACAGTAAAGTGAGATTTGATTTACATTTGCCTGTTCAGCGGTAACTAGACTCTTTTTCTAGTAGTAAAGTGAAGCATGGAGTCCTTGGGGTTCTCTGAGCTTGATTATTTTCTTGCAGACATTTCGTTACCCATCTAGGTAACATCTTCAGTGCTAGAAGGGACTGGGGTTTGCTCTCTGTTTACAGTATATACAGCAACTTGCCTTGTCAGTGTTGGTGGAAGAATTGTTTTTTCTTGGTAGTTCCTAGATTAGGCTGTTGTTTGCTGCTTGATTGTTTGTCTGAGTTGGTAGTTCCTTTATTAGGGTATTGTTTACTGCTTGATTGTTTGTCTGAGTTGGTAGTTCCTTT